ATTATATAAATATACATATATTCTGAGATCAAACAGACCTTCTAAAATAAAGAGATAAAAGACACAGAATACAATTTCATTTTAATATTTGATTCTAACTGCAGACAGACTTCAGTGTGCCTATCACAGGCATCAACAAAGGAAAGGAAATACTGCATAGCTTGACTTTAAATTATCTTTAAATCATCACCATTTAAGGTACATACTTCATTTAAAGTCCAATGCTATACAAATTACACTTTGTAAATAAAGAGCTGTGCATTTGAATTTTAAAATCCTGCATTTCATGGGATTTAGTCTCCAGTGAGCAAATAAACCAAACAAACACAGGTTCCCTAGATTCTTAATTCCACTAAGTGTCAAACTGTAAAAATACAATCTTATTAAAGAAAGCCTGATTTTATAAATTGCAAATTTATTAAAAAATAATTTGCATTATTAAAAATTCTGTATGAAAGTACTTTAAGTTCTTTAAATGAAATTAAACAGGCTTCACTGCCAAGTGAAGAACAAATGAAGAAAAGAGAAAATACTATAATTAACGTCACTGAGGACCCATGATTCAATTCACCAAGCCTGAGTCTGTGCTCAGTTTTTCAGAAATACATCTACTGGGTTAAATCTGTTTACGACTTTTTAAATCTGTTTATGACTTTTTCCACAACAGACAAGGCCCACAAGGTGAAAACGTAACACAAAACAGAATTTCACCCGAGTAAACACAAGTTCAAGGTATCTAAAATAGTTCCATACCCCCACTGATTTTCCATTCTGCTTTACTGATGCAGGAGCAAAAAAATCTGGCTTGAACAAGAAATCCTTAACAGAAGCCTTCACAGCCATTAATTTACTATGACACTACCCTTTCAGGAAAAGTGTCACTTCATGGTATGTGTAGCAGAAAACCTATATAATTTGATTTAATAGTTTTAATGAAATTGGGTTAGCTTTTCAATGCACTGTGTTTTTTACACTTCTGTTTAAAAGCTGGCACTAATGGAGCTTATAAAATGTTGAGGCTCAGGACAGAAATAAACAGTGAGGCTGTGGAGAACTCGAAGCCTAGCGGTTAACCCACTTCAAATCATCTCTCAATGATGACTTTAAGAACTACCATACCAAGTGCCTCATCTCACACATAGAGCCAAACCACGGTCAGCAACACATAACTGCCTGCAGTCAGTTCCCCCTATAATTAACTAGAATACTATCAATTTATAGATGCAAAAGGTGCACATACTAAGAGCAAAACGTCATCAACTAACAAAACTGAGAAGAGAGATGAGATTTTATCACAAAAACCCTCTTTTTAAGGTTGGTTAGAAAAGCAATTCTCATTTATTAAGGAAGTAATATTGAAAACTATTTCTTATCTCAAAAATGTGTTAAAGATATTCCTTTTAATTAAGAAAATCTCACTTCATGTTTGAAAACACTAAGCAGCAGCAAAATTGTGGGAGAAAAGGCCACACAGGAATATGACCAACCGGAGACTGAAAAAAAGGGCAGCACCTACCTGTGTGCCCTTAAGCACATGATTTAATTCAGCTCTTCTGAACGAGAGGTTTCTCATCCATCAAAAGGGGTAATGGCATCTCACAGGATTGTTGTGAAAGTTAAATGAGTTGAGGCATGTCAAGTATTTATCCAGGTAGCAGGCTAGATGTTTTCCAGTTATTAGAAGCACATCCTTCGTTCCACCCTACACATACATTTGAAATCAGGCTGCATTTTTTAAGTGATATTAAATGTTACTCACTCATCTCTCTCCCACAACTGAAACATAAGACTGATTCAAGCAAAGACATATCTAATAATCAAAGATATCGTTTAAAATGAGGAATCAGGATAACAGGCAGCCTAAACATACTAGTTTCCTTTTTGTCTCTGCCCTTTCAGGCACTCGACTATGGAAAGTACAGTTAACTTTCGGTTGCCCCAAATCATCTTCTCCTTAATATAACATCTAACAACTGTCTCTTCATCTAATAAATATTCTCTGAAGGCCCCATTAAGTTAAGAAAAATGCTGAATTAATAAGGCACTAATACGGACAATTCCTGAAGTCATGGAGCTGATGTATAAACTTAACAGATTCCTTTGGTATCCTAGTGCTAACTGAGTCAATAATTCAGGACATTTTTGTGTCTAATGTTAAACCTGAAGGGACAAGAGACATAAAATAAGTCTATTCCAGACAAACTTGCATATATGATCAACATACTCATTATATTATCTCCAAATAGGATGCACGCAGATGATCTTTTGCTTCAGAAGGAAAACAAAGGTATTTTATTAAGAGGAGGAGGAAGGGGAAGGGGAGGGGGAGAAAAAAGAAAGAAAGTGAGCACACCTAGTACCCAGAGCTTCTCTAATTTCATTTTCCAATAAAAGAAATCTGGCTCCCTGAGAAACAGGTGATGATTCCAGGATGGGGCAGGAAATATCAAGATGAGCTTGGAGCACCTTGTGGTGACAGAAAGTAAGGAAGAGCTAAAAAACAAACAAGAAAAACAACAACAGAGAACACAACACACAAGATCTGGCTAAAAGAACTCCCAGTTTGGAGTTGGAACAATCTGAAAGTAGTACTGGATTGTAATATATAAAATAAATATCCATGAGTCAATACTGATATGAATAAAAGACTGCAGAATTCAATAAATGAGGGGGAAGAGACAAATATCTCATGCAGAAGAAATGAAAAGAGTACACAGCTATTCCACTCTCAGCAAGGTAGAACGTAAGTGTGGGCTCCTTAAGCATAGTTACTTCCTTCTAAAGAGTACAGTGTAAGGATAAGGAGGGGAAAAAAGAAGAGTTTTTTCAGTGAAAGAACCTAACACTACCTCAACCAAATAATTACGGTTAACGTCAACAGTGATAAGTCGTGTTGACAGTATGTGCCTTTGATATGTGATGAACATGGCTCATCACCTCTGTGGTCTTCTTCCCCAAAACACATAACCCCAGTCTAATAATGGGTAAAACATCAGGCATTCTGCAGAGTATCTGACCAGTACTCTCCGAAACAGTCAGGGTCATCAAAAACAAAGTCTGAAAAGCTATCACAGCCAAGAGGTGCCTAAGGAGACAGGACCACTGAATGCAATGTGGTATCCTGGATGGACCATGGAGCAAAGAGAAGCACATCAGGTAAAAACTAAGGATATCTGAATAAAGCACTGACTTATTTAACAATGATGTATCCAC